CATTGGGCACTGCGTGGATCATGACCAAGAAAACGGCAAAGGTACAAGAGTGAGGACATAATTACTGAAGGAACTACTCATCCCATAACGCACTGCAAATCCAAGCTTCTCCCAGCAGGAGAAATATACAAGGAGGCAATGAGTGATGTCATGGTGGCTACATCCATCTTTTTCACTGTATATAACAATAGATTAATCAGACTCTCCACAGTGTGTCCTTGTCCCATCTTCCTCCCCTCAACCCAAACCGAAAGTAGCAGATGTCTGCCCCTCCCTGACCCTGGTTCTACTGGAGGTTTCTTCCTGTTAAAAATTAGTTTTTCCTTCCCAATGTTGCCAAAGTGTTTGCTCATAAGGGCTCATACGATCGTTGAGGTTTTCTCTGTGTTATTTGTATTACTGTAGATTAATTACCTTAAAATATAAAGCACCTTGAGGAAACTGTTGTTGTGATTTTGCGCTATATAAGTAAAATTGAATTGAATTGAATCCAACAGTATCCACTAAATTATTGGTTCTGATGATCGACTGCACCCATGGAAAGAAAAGATATATACATCCAAAGATCTGCTGCCAGCAATCTCAGAGCTGGGTCACCCATACATCCAGTACAAATCCAGACTCATGTCTATTAAATTTCATGAAAAACTATAGATGCATTTGAGAGCACTATGGACACTATAAACACCCTGTCAGAAGTGAAACTGTAATGTGGAAAACAGTTAGTCTGAGTGTTTTGCTCACCAGTGTGAAGGAAAAAACAGACATAAAAATATCATCTGTACATATAAGGTGTTGGTTAACCTTTTACTGGAGCCTGCAGAGCAAACAGTGCAATTGAACATAACACACAATGTAGGTCTCTATGAATGCACTGTGGTTTTGCTCGTATTTCTCATTCTTAGCATTACAGAGGCAGTAAGCCAAATTAAACTAATATGCAAGCATTATTGAATTTCTGTGCTTAGCAGCTTTTGTAAGGTCAATTTAACATCTCTGCTTTTATTAGATAGCCTACAGAGTAAACAGTTTAGCCAGGGATGTGTAATCAGGGTGGACTGCTCTGTGGATATACTGACAAACTGCTGAGTTCCCAAACTGCTGATCTGTAACAAAACAACAATTTATGGGAGAAGCATCATGACTCTGTAAACTCTTCAGTGGCACATAGAGTCACTTATCTCAGTTCACAGGCCTGATACAACCACACCACACCACTCAAACAAACACACACACACACATATATGAATGGACACACTGAAAGAGCTGTGTGTGTACAGAAGGTCACTTTACACAGATAAGGGCAAATGACAACTGTGAATGAGAGACACAGAACTCCACTCCACTCTACCACATCGCACTAGCTCTCTATCGACTGGCTGATCACGAGCATGAGGTCATTGGCTCCACCCCAGAGGCTGATGGGATAGCTCTTCTGTACAGTAATCCACAGGGGAGAGGCCGGTGTGTCCTCTCTATGCCCTTTTTATTATACTCTCCCTTCATTTCTGTCCACTCCAGACTCTTCAGAAACCTCTTGCTCAGCAAATGTGCTGCACTTCCGATTTCATTCAATCAACATCTATCCCCGGCTTTCTCGTTTCCATCCATTTCACTCCCTGTATCCTCTACAAGCCCATCTCCCCCCATTCCCTGTGGATCCGCTGGGTACACTCCACATTCAAAGACAGAGAATCATGTGACTGGAAGTGGATCGATACGAGTGCATCTTTTGCCCGGCACTGTACTGTATAACGATACTTACATAATCTGCTTGCAACAATGACAGTCTGCCATTCTGGCTCTTTATAACACAACTGCACTTTTAAAAAGAAAGAGAAAAAAATTCCAGATGCCAACCAGGCCGCAGAGGAACCTGCTTTGAGATTTCCAGCTGCACATGAAGTAGTGGCACATGGCATCCAGTAATTTGATCGCTTACTTCAGGGGACCTCGTTGACTGCCGTAAACGCTTTGCATAAGCTCGAATGCTTTTGCTCTTGTTGCTTTATTGCTATGAATTAGATCATGTGCTTCCTTGTGTAAATTGTTGCTCTAATGCGCAACAGGACAGGAGCTCAGACGGCTCATTCTTATCAAAACATTATCCCTTTTTTTAAAATCTTTTCACTGTAGGTTAAGCCCAGTCTTATTGGCTGTCACTTACATAGATGGAAGTCCCATATTAACAAATATCCACAGTTTCAAAATAAAGTATGTTCAATCCAACTAATGTACTCTGCATTCTATATCCTTGAAAACAGCACAATAAAGCATCTTCCCTTCCTGCTCGCAGGAGATGATCTATTGTATTGGAAAAAACAATAGTTGCTCATAGAATTCACTATTCAGAGCACTGTGGTGCTCTGAATGACTGGGTTCACATTTGAGTAGCAATGCTCTACCTTTAACCTTAAGATTGAATTTTTTCCTGGTTAAAAAACAAGCTTTTGATGATTATTCATTTAGTCCACAAAATGTTGAAATGATGAATATGTTTGTAAATCGTCAAGGCAATGGTGACAGTTTAATACTGTATAGTTGTAGAGCAGCCCAACATGTTAAAAACATTTATCTTTATCCAGATTAATTGTCGGGCTTTAATCGTGGCCGTGTTCCTGTGTCGTTTAGTCAGTCTCTACTTTTATGGGAGGTCATGTTGGTCTTCACAGAGAGAGGATGTCACTGATGGGGTCATCTCGCACAAAAGCCAAAGGCAACTGGAGTTCAAACCTTCTATTTGTAAGGGATAGCCAATCAGGAAGTCCTTTTGTAAGACAAGGCTCAGTAAAAGGTAAAAACAATAATTAATGATTTAATAAACACAGTGCTACAAAGAGCTTTTTCTCAAAATACACACATTAAAGCGAAGCATGGATATCCCACTACACAGCTCATGCAAGCGCTAGTGTGAGCCATAGCCACAGCTATAAAAATTAGTTTTCACTAGACACACAAAATGAACCACTGATTTAGTTCACTGATGAGCTGAGGAAGGCTGCTGCTACAACGCCAAATGTGTGGCTGCTTCTGGTTTTAAAATAGGAGTGTTGAACAGTTAAAAAAAAATGCTTGATTAGATGATTGATTAGACCGACGGCTGGAATAACATCTTGGCAATTCTGTTGTAGCACTGGAAAGGAATTGCACGGGTTTTTGCATGATTTCTAAAATATTAAAATGAACACCTGTGGATTTCACTGGAAGGCAATGAATGGAAGCAAGGAAATGAGAGGCTAGCTCAGAAACTCAGAAAACTGAGCAGGATGACTAGCTTGGTGAAAAAAGATCATTTCCAGGGCTGAAGTCCAATCTGATACCACTGATGTTGTAGACAAAGAAATGTAGGAATTTGTGTATCGTCAGAGGAAGTGGCTGGGAATCCAGACTGAGCAGGATTAAGGAATCTGGGAGTGTGTTTATTAATGTTAGTTAAGTCAAAGAAATAATGTATTCTTACATGATTTAAGAGATGACTGAAGGTAGTTAACAAAGGTTTCAGTCCAAGAATAAAAATGTGAAGCTCATGAGCATAATAAGCTCACGTTAATGAAATAAGAAGGAAGATCTGATTCTGAAACCAAAACGAGATGAGTACAGTGCTTTTGTTTTCTCTGGTCAGTAGCTTTGAACACCAATCTGGTAGACGCTGGAGCACAGCAGTAGCTGTGGAAACGACCCGGTAAAAGCAAAAGAGTCTCGTTGGTGTAGGAGGCAAGACAAAGAAGAGGGAGGGGAGATAGAAACAAAAAGCCAAACACGAGTAAACCTCAACACACGCTGTGGGAGTCAGGCAACCTTCAGGTGAAATTATTTTTAATAGATTAGTAAGTTAAAAAAATGCTTATTAGCCCAATGCCAACAGGTGTTTTAAACTGGAAAGCAATCCCTGTGGAGGGGTTCTAGCCCATGAAATCCAATGGAAATGTTCATGGATAAACAGGAGTAATAGGTTATCTAATATTTTACTTTATATCCAAATAAAAATTACATTCCCCACACCCTCTACTGCTACTTTGTAGTTAGCGTATTTATAAAACATGGGCATTTTAAACTTATTTAATCACCTAAAACATAAAATCTGCAAAATTGTGAACCTGTGCCCAGCAGGAAAAAACCCTCACAACTGAACTGACTGGTACATCAAGGTAAAAGTCAAATGATGGTTCATTATGCTGTGAACTAAGAAACACACATGTGCTTTTAAGTTTTTAAGATGCTTGTTGATGTGTTTTCAGGGATGCAAATTCATGCACACGACTTGAAAAGGGGTTCAGTGGTGGGGAAGAGTGGGGGAGGGAGAAATCAAAACATGGTTGATTGCAGAGAGACCTTTTCACAGCTTGTACACATCCCCTCAGTCTTCAGTCTAATAATTCCCTGATGCAATGAAACCAGAGGATGTCAAAGCGATGCCGCATACCCTGAACTGTGTCCCAGTAGGAGGGAGGCTTTAAATGAAAAGGTCACATCTCATCCACCTGTTAAAGAGCAGATGCCACATCAGAGCAATGCTTGGCAGTGGGAGCAGGTATTGGTACTGGGCGCACAAGATGAGCTTGGCATAGGAGCAGGTATGGCTATAAAGCTCACGCACATGAACTCACAGACACTCGGCTACAACGCAAATACACACACACACACAAAGACACGCGTGCAAGATGCCTGACCCCTCTCCCTAGGAATGAAAGACACGGGCAGAGAATAGAAACAGAACCTTTTCCAGGGATGATCACACTGGCAACACAAAAGCCTCGACTGTTGATGTTGCATAAAGGTCGGAGCTGTTGTCATGGGACTTCACTTATACAAGACTGAACCTTCAATCAGACCAGGAGATATTTGTCAAACAGGACACTGCTGTGACTCCTCAGTGGTGAAAATAAATGCCTGAGGATTTTCATCCTGTGTGGGCTTTTTTTTTTTGTATTTACACAGTATACACCCACAGGTACATGCAGGAGCATGAATGAACACCCACCCACACATAAACACAGTACCTGGATGCTGCTATTTCCACTTTACTCCTCGCAATGGCTGCAGCCCTCTGTGCCCCCTCCACAGCCCGATCTACCTTCTCTTTGGTTTTGGGGTTCTTAAGAGGAATCAACTGCTTTCTTATTCCACGCACCAGCACATTATTTTTGTACTTCCCTTCTTCTTTGGTGCCGTCTGGGAAAACCGTGCACCCGTAACCATGGCGCTTATTGTTAAGCCATTCTCCTTCATATTTCATCCCGTTGGATCTCTCTGATACACCAAATCCATTGCGCTTGTCATTCTTCCACTCGCCCATGTACGTCTCAGTTGTGGTGGCGTCCACATGGTCCTCCTGAGGTAGGTCCTCATCTGGCAGCTCGCCATCACCGATGGATATGGTAGAGTTGGCATCGCTTGAACTGATGCGGCTCATGGTGGCGTCACTTCTTGCAGAGCTGCGCTTGCTGGAGATTGAGGTCCGAGAGTCAGACTTGCGCAACTGTCGCAGGCTGCCAAAGAGCGAGCCGCGGCGGAACAGGCCCTTCTTCTTGCCGGTGACAACTTCGCTGTCCGAGTGGAAGTTGAGGACGAAGCCACCGCGGCTGCCCGTTGGAGTGTCTGCTGGGGAGGAGAGGTCCTGGAGCACTGCACCATTGCTCTGCTCAGAGCGCAGGGAGGCCATAGACGTACGGAGTGGAGAACGGATGACAGTGGCCATGCCATAGGGAACACTCTGACGCACACCATAGCCGTGTCGCATACCACCCATCCATTGGCCTTGATAAGTTCCTGAGTAAGAGGAAGGTATAGATCAATGAGTAAACACTTAGTCTCAATCGCTACTTCGAGCCTATAATTCTTCATGACTTTGTAAACTAATATTAACTATAAGATAATGCTTTAAGCTGAGGTGACCTTGTGATTGGTAAGTTGTGACTGGTCAATAGGGCACAAGTATAGCAACGACATGCATTTACTATAAATATCCCTAAATTTGATTAGAGCATTGTGTTGTCATCTTCAAAGTTTGCCCCATGCGCAATGTGTTTTCAGCTAATACTTCAGTTTGCCTATATTTAATTTGCTAACCAAGCTGGCTAACTAACACTAACATTAGATGATAACCTCCACAAACCAGTGGGGTGACAACAAGCTGGTTATGTCCATTTTCTATTGCTTGCAATAAAACCGATGATAATCTGTGATTATATACATGCCTGAAAAGCTCATTTCGTTTTACAACAACTTTAAAGCCAAAGCAGGGTAAAAAAATTTTAATAGGCTACTCATGGTCAGAAGAAAGCTTCTCTGTGCTCCTCATGCACAACCTGCGTGTTGTTGACCAGTAACTTTCTATATCAGCAACAAGACCTTGAAGCCTTGCTTTGTTGGTGCAGGAGTATGTCAGCTAATGAAATGTTTTTTCTCCTTCCACTCAGATATGGGACTGTGAGCATAGCTAACCCAATCACAGAGATTTGATTAAGGTACAGATACTAAAGATCGCTTGGGATGAATGTGAATCACTTAGCCAGGGGCCTATTTTCAGGCAGCTACTAACTCCCCCACTGACAGTAGGCACATTCACCACCATCCGTTTGTCTGTGACGACAGGGAATTGCTATGAGTCACATAATGAGGAGAATACTTCATTAATCCCATTTGGTGCTGCTGAGCCCAATGAGCAGGTTGTCGGCCTACCCTACTGTTGCTTCTTCAAAGTGTCATATTACAATCCTAAGCCTAATAATAAGAAAGGCTTGTTAATCCAGTGCCTGAATCTCATTCACCAATGCAATGAAATAAGCCATAACAGTCAGATTCTAACAGAAAATGATATACTAGTCAGGGGAGGAATTTAGATGGATAAACAGGGTGAGATTAACAGGCTGGCTCTGTGCTGCAGTTCAATTTGGTGACCCTGCAGATCAAGTTATCAGGATGTTGCGGAGTCAGACAGCCAGATGTTCTGTAGATCCTCTAGGATCAGCTGATTCCCAAAGCCCAGCCCTCTGCAACATCATATGTGAGGCATTTATTCTGCACCATAAGGCCTCCATTAGGGGAGGATGATGCTCACAAATCACCCAAAGACTTGCTTGTTTTATAACAGGAGAGGCCTGAACAACAGGCAAGCGCTTGTTTTTTAGGCTTCCTGCGATCTTGTCTCCCTCATCAGACACAGGTCCTTACATAAACGCAATCTGTGAACACACCAATGATTAGTGAGATGACTGACCTCTCATTTTCAGCAAGTACAAGTCCTGTGTGGGACTTAGCTCTTTCCACTACAGATGTGTGAGTTCTTTAGTCTAGACACATGAAGAATAACTTTAAATGCTACCAAAAATGAGCACCTTCTCGTGCTTTATACACATTACACTTCATTTAAAACGGCAGCATGTGCACCCTTCAGGACATGTGTTTTTATAGTTAAGGTTCAAAGGGAGAAAATGACAGTGAAGCAAGTGATTTGAGTTTGAGTCTTTAATTGACTTTAAATGGACTGATTTGCTTTCCAAACTCCTTCTCCGGGAGGCATGTTTCCAGTGAGGAGCAGTCACTCTCCTCCCACTGTCATATGAGGAGCAACCGGTAGTTGCCAAAAGAGATGTCCCTTGGAATAAAATAGGAACCGTGATCTTAAACGGTATTCAAAAAGTTAACGTTACCACCGGGGTAAAGAGTCAGTTATGCTGGGTAAACGACGAGGTGACTGACCACGATGCGCAGTGCGCAATCTCAGTTTATACTCAGCTCATATCAGATGGAGATTCACGCGCTGGTGTGTTACAGTGAGCCTTCCTCAGTTTGAGTCTGAGCATCCTACACACGAGCTACATAACACATTACCACTCACCGCCGTTAAAGCGACATGCACGCTAAACAAGCGATGTGCCATATCTATTAAAACCTGGTGCCTTACCGCCATCTCCATAGGTTTCGATCCCATATCCATCCTGTAGACCGTTGCTCCAGGTCCCGTCGTATCTAGCAGGTGTGTTGTGGCTTTGCCGAACGCCGTACCGACCCTTAAAACCATGACTCCACTCTCCTCGATAGATCCACTTTCCTTTATTCTCCACACCCAGCCCATGGCGCTTCCCCTGGGACCAGTAACCCTTGTAGGTATTCCCGCTGGGCCAGGTGTACACGCCAACTATTTCAAAGCCGTGCGACCAGGACCCGGCGTACTCGCCTTGGCCCTTGGGTCCGGTGCAGATCCCATGTCCGTGGGCTTTGCCATCCTCCCACCCCCCGCAGTATGTGCCACCATCGTCGAAGTCAAACCTTCCGCCCGTCATTCAGATATAGACTGGAAATAAAGCAGATGGTGCGCTGCTGCAGACTCAGGATTCTCCAGGACCTGGGCTGGAGGATCCAGGACCGGTGGTGTGATGAAAGGATGAGCCAACAAGATGATGACTACAAGAGCAAAAAATAGGAAGGTGAGGATGGTGGACTGGCGCTTCCAGACACTGACATGTAATACAAAAGGCATGCGTAACGGTAAGTGTAAAGGTATGAATGGTGGGCGTCATTTACCGGAGGCGCACGCTGGACTCTCCGCTGTGTGTTGCTCGTCTCCCCCCTCTCACCCACTGATCAAAGGAGGGAGAGAGAGAGAGATGTACCGAGCCCCTGTTGAAGAAAGGCGCTGGGCCAATCGCAACGTCACGCCACAGGGACCTCCCACTCTCCTCCTCTCCCCCCTCCACAAAGCGCCCGAACGCCTCAACTTCGCCAAAATAACAGGCCACTGCCAAACTTTACATTTGAAAGACCCGCCTCTCTTTACACAGACTAAATTCCTCAATTATCACTTCCCATAATGCCCCCATTACAAAAATATAAGCTCGGTCACATATGATTCAATCCTCACCCATATTACATAATATTATTATATGGCCTATTTTGTGAGGCGATGGTCTGATGCTGTTTTAGACAGTCATTCTTTAACACACCCATCACTTTTCTCTTGTATTCGATACGCATCCTGGATTAAGTAGCCATATACTTTGATTTTCTAAATTAAATATTAATATTATTATACTTATTATATTATTTAAAAAAGATCAATCATACGCTGGGCATGCATTTCAGGCAACAACTCCTGATTTCATAAGTATTAAAAAATCAATTCTAATAAAAATGGTTCAATGTATTATGTAGAACATGAAAGAAACCAGTTTAATTTACCTGCGTTTAATGAGTAAGAACCAGTATCGCTTTATATTATAGCACTGACTTAAAAACAAAACAAAAAACACACATCAGTTTTTGTATCAGGCTGATAATATTCAGACTCGAGTGCACCAGTAGCAGCCACAGTGTTAGATAACAGCGACCTCTGCTGTACCAGCGTATTCATTGCACTGCCTCAGATGAGGAAGGGTGGCCTGTGACGTAGTAAAGGATTGAACTGTGCACTTTAAAGGGTGTTATTTGTTGTCTGACTTTGTTAATTATTATACTTAGGATTTAAAATTTGGCACCATAGTTGTAGTTTTTTTTCTATTAATTAAAAGAAACCCTTAGTAAAATATTTCCACTATGCTAGTCTAAGGAGCAAGAACGTGAACTAGCAGGGAGGGGGGTGAGGGTGCAAGAGAGCGCAGGTATACAAAAAGAAGGAAAAGCGCAGGTTTCACATGAATACCAACACCTGAATGCGAGAATGTAATTAAAAAATAATTACTTTATCTTTTAATTTAAAAGAAATACATAAAACAATAATTTCGCGTTACACTCCGAGCCAGAGGGGGGAGTACTTTGTCGACCGCGACGCCCCCTCCTACAACAGTAACGGATAAAATGGCGTCCGAAAACAGCTCTGAATCTCAAGATGAGAAAGCAGCTCTTATAAACCCGGACTTAGAGCAAGATGTTCATCAGGAGTGCGGCACAGTCGCAAAACAGCGCGAATCCAAACTGACGCTGTATCACTGGACGCAGTCGTTCAACTCTCAGAAGGTGAGCGTCATTAGTCTTTCAGCACCACAGTTTAGTGGACAGCTCCCCATAACGGGGTTAATTATGACACTGTAGGACTGCAAAAACAGCCCTGCTGCTGTAGATGGTTTAGGCTTTGTATAAACCCGTTCCTCTTTGTTTTTTTTAAATAATTAAAACAGTTAGTAGCTTGACTGTCTTTCAGCTCTGTCACGTGTAACAGCAGCTCAGCAGCACATTTCAGTGTATAGACATGAGTTTTCCATCCTTCAGGGTGTTTCTCAGAAATACAGCAGGTTTTCAGACAAGCTTATTTTCACTTCTCATTTCCATTACTTCTTAACAGAATCATAAGGAGGTTCAGCTTCCTCTCAATCCACCCACCTAACTATTCATGCACTTTTGCTGTAAAAAATGCATCTGTAATTTTTAATTAAAGGCAGGTGCTGACTGGATAAAAGAGAAGCCAATGATTTATTTGAAAATTGTGGGAGGAGAAAAGAGAGCAAGGTTTTATTGGCAGGGAAATAAAAACAAGCTTCCTCCACAGTCCCAGTCACAATAAGTTGTTGTTTTTCAGGTGCGTCTTGCCATAGCAGAGAAAAGTTTGCACTGTGAAGAGTACGATGTGAGCCTTCCTCTCAGCGAGCACAATGAGCCGTGGTTCATGCGTCTGAATCCGGGTGGTGAGGTTCCAGTCTTAGTTCACAACGACAATGTCATCTGTGACCCAACGCAGATCATGGACTACCTGGAGCAGAACTTCAATGATGGTGAGATTGATGCAGATGTAGCTGCTAGTCCCTAGAGGAGCTGCAGCCCAAAGCTCTCATTTATGACACCAAAACTAAAATATTATATCAAGCTTCAGCTTCTTAGAACCTTAAAAGAGTTCATTTCATTGTATTTTCTGTCTGCTTTTATGCATTTCCTTGTATCACACATTTGTTGATTTTTCAATAATTTCATTGTTTCTTTTCTAAATTTTTATTTTCCCTTGGTGTGCACTGATCCATAATAGCTAAGGGTCTGCATCAAATCACCTTAGAAGGAAAGGACATCTGGTAAGCATGAAGTCATTTAAGGAGATACCCAAATGTTTTTAAATCCTCAGGCAAGAAAGTGAACATAAAGGCTTTGCTGTCATCATGTCTTCTCCCTAACCTAAGTCAGTAGTGTATAAACCCATAAAAAAAACCCATAAGAAACAAAAATATTAAATTCCAAAATTTGATCCTTTTCCATGACTTGTTTGTCTCCAGAGGGCACTCCGAGGCTGGTCCCAGAAGAGGGCAGTACCTACTACCTAAGAGTGCAGCACTACAGAGAGCTGCTGGACTCACTACCCATGGATGCCTACACCCATGGCTGCCTACTCCACCCTGAAATCACTGTGGACTCCCATATACCGGCATATGCTGCTACATGTGTACGAAGTAAGACGATCTGAGCCTCATAGCTGTACAATTTTCAGCTGAATATCAAAGAGACTGTACACTATACCCTTAGTTATCCTAAATCAATTTCTGCCTTCTGAATCATTGTACTTAAAATCAGATAAAAGCTAAAAATATATATTTTGTAACTTTACATTGATGTGCAATGTAACCTTTTTTTATGATTTAGATTAAAACCTCTCATTCGCACATGTTGATACTGGCATTTCTTATTTCACTGTAAAACTCTGTAATAGTGGGATTAATTTTGTGCCTCATCATGTCTAATATTTTTCTTATTACTATTTTTTGTGGTGACAGCACAGATCGGAAGCACACAGTCAGAGCTGATGAAACTGGCAGAGCAGAACCCAGAGCTCAAAGACGCTTATATAGCAAAACAAAAGCGCCTGAAAGTAAGTTACTCTAATTACCAGAGAGCCAAATGTCTTTATCAAGTGTCCAAATGAGCCTTGGCTATAGAGACACACTGTCCACAGCATATTTTTGTTAAGTAATTTACTACAAATTATGTAAGAGTCACTCAGAAGTACACTGAGTAGTGAGATTTCAGACACCTACTAATCCTCTGTAATTTAGTGAGTGTCATTATGCCATCTGGTATTGCATTGCAAGAAGTGTACAACTTTATTTTTGTTCCATTTTTCAATTTTTAATAAAACTTTAGTGAACACATATAAAATAAATCTGGATATTTATAATTGAGCTATTCATATATATTAGAGCCATTTCTTATATTTTGTAATTTGGTAATATATTGTGTTATTTAATTTAGTTTAACCTGTCACGGTTCTTATTGTTTTGGAGCAACTGTAACCACATCATTTTCTTAGGGGTTAATAAAGTATTCGGATTCTGAAATATAAGTTAAAGAATTCAGACAAACAAAATAGTGCACATCAAATGTAGTAAACCATAAAGTAAACAGAAGCTAACTAATAAGCTAAAGAAGTGGTAGCTAGCTAGCTAGCTTTAGCAATACTGCTGTTAGTAGACTCCTAATGTAAATATGTGAAATGTAAATGTAAAATGTAAAAACTTACTTTTTTTCCCCACACATGCAGTATTATCTGCAGCAGAGGCCTTTCATTTTTGAGGAACCAACCTCCTTGCTAATCATGTTCTTTTAATCACTAGGCAGATGTAGCTAACTTCCGCAGTAGCATAAGTTTCAGTTAGAACAAAAAAACTAATAAACCCAAAACAAAACAGATAAACCAAAAAACTAGATAGACCAAAAAAAAATTAACATTTCAAAAAATGCAGTGACACTGTGTAAAATATAAGTAAAAACAGAATGAAATGTTTTGCAAATTTTATAAACCCATATTTTCATCAGAACACAAAAAACATAGCAATTGTTAAAAATGAAAAAGAAGAATACTGGCCAATTTTGAATTTGATCGCAGCAACACATAAACAGAAAACTGTGTGTGTCATCCACTCTTTTTAATAACAGTATGTAAATGTCGGGGAATTGATATGCACAGCTGCTGGACCTTTAGGCGAGGAATGTTGTCCCATTTTTGTCCTACAGAGGATTATAGCTTCTCAGCAATCCTAGATCTTCTTCATCATATTTTTCATTTCACTATACATCAAATATATCTAATCACGGAAAGATCTGGACTGCAGGCAGGCCAATTCAGCACCCAGACTCTTCTACTAAGCCATGCTTTTGTAATAGACACAGTATTTGGTTTAATGTTGTCTTGCTGAAGTTTGTAAGGCCATCCCTGAAAAAATATTATCTGGATGGGATCATATGTTGCTTTAAAGCTATATATGTCTTTCAGCAATGGTGGTGCTTTTCCAGATGCAAAGCTGCCATTATGCACCCCCATGCCATCATAGATGCAAACTTTTGAACCAAGCGCTGATCACAATCCAGGAGGTCTCTCACCTCTTTAGTCTGAAGGACACGGTGTCTGTGTTTGCCAAAAAGAACTTCACATTTTCATTCATCTGACCAAATAACAGTTTTCCACTTTGCCTCAAAGAAGATGGCGGTATTTCTGGATTATGTTCACATATGGCTTCTTCTTTTCGTAATAGAGCTTTAATATGCATTTGGGAATGTCACAATGAACACAGTGATTTCTCTTTCCATGACAGAATCACCCCAGTTCTTAATGCAGTGCTGCCTGAGGACCTGAAGATCGCAGGCATCAAAAAATTGATTTAAAGCTTTTTTCCTGATTCTCTGAATATTTTGATGATGTTATTCACTGTAAATGATGATAATA